AGAGAGAGAGAGAGAGAGAGAGAGAGAAAGAGAACGATCAGTGGGTAGGGGTTTGGGGCAGGAGAGGGGAATGCCAGTGATTTATTTATATTTGTCTCTTGCACGGATACCCACATTATTTTAAGCAGAATGTTAACTGTGATATGAACAATTAAAGTCTGATATTAGAGACTACGCAACAATTTCAGTACGGTACCATTAGCACTGATATGATATAAAGAAAAGTGTCTATTCCGAACAAATTGTATTTATATACACTCTGTGTTTGTATTCCAGTGTTGTTTGCCCCCCCCCTCTCTCTCTCTCTCTCTCTCTCTCTCTCTCTCTCTCTCTCTCTCCCTCTCTCTCTCAAGCCTTTGAATAACTCCACATACGTCTTCAGGTTGGTGGGCGCTCTGATGTGGTTTGCTCCTTCTTTTCTATCAACCTGATCTCTCCTCCTTTTTTGTGTGTTTCTTACTTTCTTGTAACACCTCTAATGTTAGGCACTTGTATTAAGACCTTATTGTGTTGAAAGCGCTGTAAAACTCTTGCTATAACATAAGTCAGCAGTAACCTGTTGGGGACTGGAACCAGGGTTGTCAAGAAATATACCTACTGAGCTGTCTGTAGACTCTGGATATGGTGGGTGGCTAGCGGGTTCATTGGTGCAGTTTGTTCCTCCTTCTTTTATTTGTATGTTACACCTCTAATCCTTGGTACGTATGGTCGCTTTTAAGCACAGGGACGGCTATCTCGAAAAAAAAACCCACGTTGTTTTGAGGAAATCGAAGGTAAAGTTTTTCTTTAAAAGACAATGAAAGTTTTCTCTATAACCAAACAAATATACACACCAATGAAACCAAACTTCTCCTATAGGTAGGCCAGTGCCCACTTTTGATGTAGGTCAAGATTTCTGGAACCCCCCGAAATCTGGGTTAGCCCGCTTGTCTTTAAAAGCGACCAATAATGACCCGATGGTGTTTTCAAGTGCCGTGAAACTCTTATTAAAATAAATAAGTAAACAAAACAGACTTAAGGTGTATGGCGTTGAGTGTATGCAAATATTCACACTATAAAAATAACGGCCTTTGCATCTAAATCTTCAGACCCTAAGAGAAGACGTCAACCCGAAAGCGGCGGCAGAGAACCAGGAAAAACGACAGGGCAAGATCTTCGAGAAGAAGTCGGAAAGCCAAAGCAAGTTCAAGGCCGACCTTCCCGGGTCATCGGTTATCAAGGAAGAGCCGTGTGCCGAGTCCAGCCCTGCCGAGGACCAGGGCAATCCTGAGGACAATGAAGCTCCTGAAACCCCTGAGGAAGCTGAAGCCTCAGAGACCCCCACGGCTCCGGCGGAGTCATAAGTTCGAGGTCAAGGCCATGTGAAGCCTGGGGAAAAGAAGGCGTGATCTAGGGCATTGTCTGTGTGTGCAATCGAGTCGTCATCATTAATGTGCTTCTGAATTCGAAGACTACAGTTGAAAAATGTACTTGGTCACGCTGTGGGCGTGTTCTTAAGCAGGTTAGTCTGCGACAAGTGCTTTTTTTGGACTGCTCTACTGGCAGCTTCGAGTGTATGGAAAATTCTTTGATGAATGAGGATTACGTGAATGAGGAGGAGGAGGAGGAGGATGAGGATGTTTTGGACTGCTTGACATGCGGCTTTGGGTGTATAAAAAAATCTTTGATGGAGGAGGACAATGGTGGGGAGGAGGAAGAGGAGGAAGAGGAGGATGATGAAGAGGGAAGAGAAGAAGAATGAGAATAGCAACAAACAAAATTATCAACAAAAATTCGAAACACGATCATCACAATCGTACAATCAGAACGTGCGTATAGAATAAGTACAGATCAAAATTTGCACATAAATAAAAGACTCACTACTTCTCCTGATAACATAACAAGTTGCCGAGAAAAATATATATTCTTTTGAGTATGAAGGTAGAGAATTCTAGATGTACTTAGTTTTAAATGGCACATTGCACTGTTATCGCACAAGGAGAAAACCATGACATACACACTTTTTAGTATAGAACTTGCTCCATCTATTTTTCTGTTTACACCAGATAATGTTATTTGAGGTCATATTATTATACAATGTACGATTTTATAAATGTGTGAATGATTGAAAACTGCCTTTGATCGAACTCACGTGTTTTCTGTTAACATTTTTTATGTTTTGTTCTAATGCATCTTATTATTTTGTTTTCTAAAACCTAACCCAAAATAAGTGTGTCAATCTCTGTAATTCGTATAAATGAACAAATTCAGTTAATATCAAATTATTAATGCACTATTTCAGCCCTTCACTCACAAATTGGCTTCATAATTCAAGAAAATTGCATCAGTGGACATTAAGAGTGGGCATACAATTCTTGAGCAAATGTCAGAAAATTTGAAACATTTCGTTAAAAAGGAAGGGTTAGTCAACCCACATTTATTGTCATCACGAGCCTAACCATGTGTCTCTTATAGACTTCTCTAAATAGTTTTATCTTCATCCCACTTGAAACTTTTGAGTACTTATAATGGAGATGTGTAGCCCACTTTCTATCACGAAATACATCGATTTAACCCAAAGTTACTCGTGTTATCGTAGCTTTGATGTTTGTTCTATGGTTATGAAGCCAGCATTTGTACAGCTGGCATGCCCCATTTGGGAAGCTCGTTATTCCAGTAAGCTATTGACATGCGCCTTGCATTGGTAATATAATAACTTATCATAGTGATTCGTAAAAGAGGAATATACCATAGAATTACACTATATAGATAGCCTACATTTTCACAAGTGTGGGCGGGCAGCCATTACAACAACCCAAGAAGCATCTCTGGGTTAGATGTTTGTGTTCTGTATTCAAATTTCCAGACTATTGTGTTCAAGCTGGCGCTCCACTGGTTCGAGGCTGGATCTCTATTGGATGGAGGCTGGATCTCTATTGGATGGAGGCTGGATCTCTATTGGATGGAGGCTGGATCTTCCTTCTTTTTGTAAACCACTCCACCATGTGTTTGTGACTTCAGTGACAGACACAGCAGATTGTGATATGAACTTTGAGGAGTGCTTGATGTTCGTTGGTTGTGGGACGCCAACAAAATGGATTGGTAGAAATATCCTGTGATAATGAACGGGGAGTCATGGCTCCGACAAACTGTGACGTCAGACCAATAAAGCAAGGATGGTCCACGGAAGGATACACACGACAGGAGCCTGCTTTTCAGATTCCTGATGAAATGGGATTCGTGTCCAGAAGTACGCTCATGATGTGATTGCACTTGTTCAACGTTCCTCTATTTTTCAAAAAATGTTATTTGCTCTGTCTTGTCAACATCACTGTTCTATGAATTATTTGATTGATCCCCCCCTACTACAAAGTATTTGATTGTTTGTTCACCATGGCCTTGGTATAAAGGATTTCATTGGGACGTTTACGAACCTCTTTCTATGAAGTGTTTCATCAATGGTCTATTTACAATCGTATTTCATTGGAGTATGTAATTCGTTTTGATTTCGAAATGCCTCTAAATGTAAGCACACATTTTTCTTTGGCGTCATATTAGATACAGTGGTTTGGCTTTTGTTGAAAGTTTGTTAATGCTTTCTTCTTTATGCTCACTGTTTATTTTGCTCTTCATTGTAATATTGCTTAATGGGGGGGGGGGGGGGGTTCGTTTTGGTTTCACTGTTTTTTGTACTTACATAAAATTGTTGTATCCATAAATAAGTTGTTTTTAAATTCGCAAAAGAAATTGTTTCTTTTAGGGCGATAAACTCCTGTTTTATTCATTTGTTCTTTCGTTCCTTTTTTCTTTATCTATTTAAAACATGTAATGAGCAGAGGAGAGAAAGGTCGGAAGAGGGAGGGGACATTGGGCGTGAGGATTTTTTGAGAGAGCTAATTGCTGTGTATCTTTGTTGTCGGTTATTTTCAAGATTAATCAAAACAATCTGAAGTATTTGTTTCCTATCGGTGTTTTGCTTTGTTTTGCTTTTTTCTTTGCTACATAATCATGCCACTGCTCTATGGACTCAGACGTTTTTTGGGTTTTTTTTATTTTGTTGTTGTTTATTTTAGAGTAACTTGTAGTCTTTTGTAATTCTATTACTGTCGTCTGTTTTATAAAACGCATATACAAAAGTGCGGATCCGTGCTTTCGTTTTGTGCACCAATTAATGTTTCAGTATTTTGCCTGCATCTGCTGGAACTAAGCCACATCGCATCTTAAGATCTGGAGCGTGCGAAAAAACCAAGACAGTTGTTTCCTTATAGTAATATTCATTATATTATTATTCTTGAATTTTAAGCTACTGACATAATATTTGTGAGGAATCGTGGTGAAATCAGGCGCTCATCAAAATAATGAAAAAGAAGAAAACAGCATTTTTCTTCCCATTTGGCAATTTTCATGGAATTTTTTATTTTTTGGCACAACCCTTTATGTCCATGTTAAAACACATTGCTGTGTGGCCTTTACTGGAAAGCGTTGAATAAAGTCATAAAATACATACATTTACAGTTTCCATTGACTCTTACACGTTGAAAGTCGCCAAACTTTGGCGGCCATTTCCTCTCAAATTTTATTTCTGAAACCAAGTGACTCAACCCGCTTCAATTCGAAAAATCTCGACTTCTATTGAAAATAGAATCTAGATGGATAATATCTTTTCATTGAAAGCAAGACAAATGAACAAGATTTAAGATGATACCAATAACTCTGTATGCCCAAAAATTGGCGAGAGCCTGATTCCACCGCGTTGGGACACATTTTTGTTAGGCTTGTCTTGAGAGTTATTTCTCATGTCATTTGTGCACTTTTTAAAAAGGTCAGTCTACCACAAACATAGATATTACGTTTTTGTGTTTTTATTAAATCACTCTTGTTTAGAATGTTTTAATGCAGCTAAATGTTATAAGAAGTTTTATGATATGTGAAAGACCCCAGTATTTTCAGTTTTTCTCTCTATGTCCCCAAAAGTTTGCTTGTTTTTCGGGCTTGCTGTCTTTGTCTCCTTTTTCACATTC